GCCGTTTCTATGGCCAAGGCCGGCTGTTTCTTGACCCCAGAATGGCCGGCGGCGGGAGAAGGGGAAGCACTGGGAGTCGTCGTGTGGCTGGAGACAACGTGGATCTCCTGTGCACCTTTCTTCGCCAGTTGTTTGACCCGCTTGGCAGGCGGGGAAGGCTCGATGGCCGGCCCGGCTTCCTGGCGAGGCCGTTTGATCAGCACGGCCCTACCAGCGGGTTTGTCCTTTTGGGCCACGACCGATTTTTTCCCGGCCGTAGCAGCGGCAACTGCCTCCGTTTTTCTCAAAGGCCGACTACCTAAAAAGATAAAGACAATTCAGTAAGGCAAATCAATGCGCAAGGTTGATGGAAAGGAGGAAAATGGAACATGTACCTTGAGTATGAGGGGCCGAAGCCTTCTTGGGTCGGTCGCCGAAGAGTCTGCTCACCACATCTTCGACCGGCGCACTAAAAAACTCTTGGGTGTAATTTTCCCACCACTCACCGAAGGTGTCGGTGCAATGAGTTTCTGGGGTGGCTGGTCGAAGCCGGAATTTTTGGCAGTGCTCTTGGAATTCCCTCACGGCGGTTCTACATTCCTTCTCAGAGGAACGAGGTTCGCGTCCACGGCTTAGGACCGTTCGGGAGGAGAGAAGGGGGATAGGGCAGCCCTGAAGGTAGCCGAGCTGTCGGGCAAGGAAGTTCGGATGATATACTTCCCAACCTGACCGTTTCCCATCACAGCCAAGAGGGAGGTCGCGAGCAAGCACAAACGACCCCCAGGTCTGACGAAGATCGGCGTCCTCCTCCGCGCTCCATGGGGAGGTAGGCAGCCTGATGGAGGAAGGGTAGTCTCGACGACGACATATTAGGAACTCGTCGTTGGAGAAGTCGTCGAGAGCGAAGAGGTACCGAAATACCTCTTCGGCTTGATGGGGAGGTGTCGGTCGAGAGGCCAGTTGAGGTCCAAGCGCCTCTGTTGGTGAGAATTCAGCTATGGCCGGCCGAAGGGAGGCGAAGTATACCTGCAACCAGAGTTGGAAGACCCAGAGAGGACCATTCTGGTGTGGGTCGACCTTGTGGAGGGTCGCTTCGGCCAGGCAGCGGAAAAGTTGGGCGAGAATATTGGAACTCAGTGCCAAGACATGACCACTAACCAGGGCTTCGGCTACCGGCATGTTCTCAACCAAACACTTGTTTGACCTGGTACAACAAACGTATTTGTTGTACCAGTAGAAGAGGAAGGCTTCATGCTCTCCTTCTCGCAGGTCCTCTTCTCCTCGGCCGGCGAAGTGAAGATAGAGGGTGTTGTAATTGCAGAAGTTCTTGTGGAGCTTCTGAATATCTTCCTTCGACGGGATATGACCGTCACGGTTCAAGGTCTCGAAGGCCCGACGGTCGAAGAGCGTTTTTAGGTCGATATTCGACGGATGCCCAGAGAGGGTCGCGTCGACGGGGATCCCGGTCACCGAAGTCCCCAGAATAGTAGTGATATCCATGACGGTGGGACCAATGGGACCCAGAGGAAGGACCATCGTGTTGGTGGCCGAGCACCAGAAGCACAGAGCGGCTTGGAGAAGCTCATTGTCGAGGACGATTTCCATAGACGAAAGGAGGATAGCATCGTAGATGCCAAGGGCTTTCCATTGCTCGCCGAAGAGTCGTTCCATTCGAACGACCCAGGCTGCCCAGGATGTGGTCGTCGAGGGCCAGGAGCCCTGGGGTTTAGCCGCATCCCATCGCGACCATTCAAACCCTTGAAGCAAGGGTGTTAGGCAGTGCTCCTGGAGAAGGCCGATGATAGTCGGCGGTATGGTAGCCTTGAAGAGAGGACCCAGGATTTGGTACTGGGTGCTCATGTCGTTTTCAAACCGGATGGTCTTGATCGAGCTCCGATCAACAATCTTCTGGTGTTGGTCACATTCCCTGGAAAGCTTGGAGATAAAGGATGCCATTGTGAGAAAGAGGCACGGAGTAAAAGGTTTGTCTGGGGTGGGGATTTAAAGACGAAGACTTGGAATAGGAGGAATGCACTAGAAATCAATGGCAGAGGATTTCAGGAAGTTTGAGAGCGTAAAAGTACAAATGAGGGAATTTCGGTATTTATAGAGTTATGAGGGGGGAAGAGCAATCGTTCGAAATTCAAAACAAAGGGCAAAATCGACCGGAGGAATCGTTGATCATGATGAACGTTTGGGAAATGCGGTTGAGAAGACCGACGGTTTTAGGTTTTGGGGGCGCACGATCGCGTGTGACGGCGAAGTTAATGACGAAAGACGGTTCGACGCCTGCACGAGGACAGGTGGGCTCACGGACTGATGTAATGGCTCGCGGATTGAGATAGTGGTCATAATGGCAAGACGGTTCGAGCAGGCGCACGCTTCAGACGTCATTATCGGGGATTGGCCATGTTAGAGGATGCCACGTGGCGAGGGGTTTAGCAGGATCAAGATCGTGCGATCGTGTTCAATAAATGCGCCTTGGAACTCGGGTATTAGGATTCTGAGTGGTAGATTCGCTTCTTCAAGGCCGAAACTCGGCTGAAGGTTTCAGGCCGAAGACCTCAGAAGCGAGGGGGCAATGTTTAGGCCCAAAATAACAGTTTGGGCCGAGGGAGGAGTCACTTTCGGCCCGGGAAGCTGTACGGCGAGAGGGTCATGGGGCGTTCAGCTCATGGGCTTCCAAGCCTAGGTCGGTTAAATCAGAGTGCAAGTCGAGTCCTAATACAATAGGGACCCTCGACGAGATCAATAAAACTAGAAGGCGAATCCGGCTCAGTTAAGGACTAGATTCGTAGTCCTAGCAGAGATAGGACTGATCGAGGTAATGTTAATCCGGAGAGGGAAACCTAGTTCGAATAGGATTGGAATTCGGGCTCGGTGTTCTGCTACTATAAATACAAGACGTTCAGCAATGGAAGAGCCCCCACAAAATCAATACAAAATTGCCCTGCGCAAACTCTCACAACTTGAGATCTTTTTCTTTTCCTTTTTCGCTGACACATCTTCCGTTGGCATCAACAGCACTGTGGAAGCAACCGGTGATATCTTAAGTCGGCATAGATAGCTCTGTCACCGTAGAGTCGGTCGGTCTCGTAGTATCTTCCGTTGGCATCAACAGCACTGCGGCGAGAACGGTCGATTACCTATCCAAGTTCGGTCGGTCGAGAAGGGGTTTTCGAAATCCTTGTTGGTCGAGGTCATCTCATTAGCCTTTCTCGGCGAGGTGAGGTGTCACAGTTATTACATTCGGCACATTGCAAGCCGAATTCGGTTCGTGAACTTTGTAAGAAATAGCAGCCTTGTCTTCAGGCTCGAGAACCCAAGAGGCCGAGACGTGTTCCTTTCTCGGCCGCAATCGCAAGACGCAGAAGTCAGTAGCGCGACCCAACGCAGCATCATCAAATTTACTCCTCGGCCGAGCCCCGGCCGACGAGTTGGCACGCCCGCAATCACCGAAGGACGTAGTTAGCTTAGAATATACTTGGCCTGCGCCACGTAGGCTTTGTAATTTCTAGGGTCAACACTAATATATAAAGAGTGGTGATATTCCTACCCCGGTGTCTTATTTCCCCACCCACCATTTAATGAAAATATTAATAACATATTTATCATTTTATAAAAAGACTCTTAAACCCCTATTTAATTCAGTATTAAAATTTTGAAAAAAAAAACAAAATATAATTTAAAATAATAAATAAATAATGGTGGGTGGGGTGTGATATATTTGGTGGAAAGAGGTTGGGAAATATTTGGGTTAGAATCGACGGAAAGGTTGGAGGAAGAAATGAGCATGTGCTTGATGAAGGGGCGAAACTTCAATGGAGAAAAAAAAAAGAATTGGGTGTGAGATCTGTGGTTTTGACAAAAAATGAGGAAGATGAATGGTTTGGGGATCCGGGGTCTCTGCAGGGCTGCGTTAGGTGTGAAGGAGATGAGAAATGTCTAGGTCTTAGGTCATGCATTTTCTTTCTTTTTTTTCTTTCTATTTTTATTTATTTATTTATAATATTATTTAAAGATATATTAAAGTTATTTAAAAAAAATATCATGGTTATTTTGGGAATAATGGTGGGTGAGAAAATAACATTTTACTTTTTAAATTTTCTTTGATGGGTGGGATTATCATGTGGGTGGGAAAATAAGATACTGGGTGGGTCTAGTAGCACTCTATATAAAAGAGCATTAATTTTTTTAATCTAATATATAAAAGAGCATTACAAAAAATTAGCTAGACCTACAATTACCTCTTTTCCAACTTTTCCATTTTTTCGGAAAAAAACGAAAAAAACAAAAAACAAAAAAAATCCCACTTTTCTGTTTTTTTTTTAAATTTTTTTTCTTGCACTTTAATAATACTCTAGTGGCCCTTCAACTAAAATTTTATTGATGATTTTGCAACAAAGAATGCATGAAGAATCATCTTTAAGTGAAACTTCAATGTTGTACTTTTTAAAGTTTAGTTCATTCGGTTTCGTAAAATTGAACTGATTATTGATTATTTAGTAATGCTTATTTTTGTAGCTTTATGTGCTTATTATGTAATGATATTTGAAAACTGATAATTAGAGTGAGCTTTAAAGTTTGTTTCAGTTTTAGTTATTGTTTCTAGCATCAATATAAAGGTCGTATCCAGTGCACAAGGCTCCCGCTTTACGCAGGATCTGGGAGAGGTGAATGTCGGCTAGCCTTACCCCCATTTTATGGAGAGGCTGCTCCCAAGTCTCGAACCCGAGACCTACCGCTCATGGGCGAAGGCACTTGTCATCGCATCAAGTGCGACCTCTTTATAAAAATTTGGAAGACTATCCTAAAAATACACTCTTTATAAATTTTGCACAGAATTCCAAAATTTCAAAGACAATCCTGGGCCCTTTTCTCACATTATCATAACTTCATCACATTAATTTATTCAGGATTGGTCAGATCAGAGTATCTGAACATGTACAAACAAAAGAGAAAGGAAAAAAAAATCATAAAATCCCTATGAATAATTGAACGATTGGTAGGAAAAAATCGACAAAAATCGTACTTTCAATGATCACAATACCTTTATAGAGAGAGAGAGAAAGAGAGAGAGAGAGAGACGAGTTTTTGATACAATAGTATGTAAAGAGGAATCGAACCTAGAACCTCAAATGCAATGGTAATACTCTTTAACCGCTTGAGCTATAAGCGGCTTTGTGTATTTCATGTTGAGTTTGTGAAATTTAGCCCTTCATCTGCTGATGCTATTAACGGAAACTAGATTAGCATTAAACTTTACAAAGTTAAAAGCTATTTCCTGAACCGAGAGTAATTTTACAAAACAACTACTTAATACCAAAAGGCACAACAATGTAGTTATTCTTCTGAGCATCAACTGACTCATTCTCTGCGCATCTTCACATTAACTGGAATTTCCTTGTATGACTGAATCTTCTGCGTTGCTCGGCGCAGTGGCCTGGCAGATGATTTTCGACATTCCTGGCCTTCAGATCTCGGGTCAATGTATCCGCCATCGTCCTTTTTCACTGAAGAACAAGTCAAACCACTTTCATGAACCACTTCGTCACTTAGAGAAGAGGCATGGACTGTGTCATCGTTGATCTCAAACGACGCTTCAGTTGCTCCCCGTTCTTCAGTTTTAAACTTTGTGGACTGCCTTGTCAAGCGTCTATTAGGAAACAATAAATCATTTGTAAATATAGTGAAAATCTACAGAAACATGTACCTGCTTAAGGAAATCAAAGTTCAAACAGAGACAAACCTTTTGTTGTCCGCCTTCTCTTTATCATGGACAGCTTCAGTAATAGGATCCTCTTTTTCCGCCATTGAGCATGTCGGAGCACTTTCATGAGCAACATTTTGACATGGAGGAGGGACGGGAAACTCTTCGCCATTGGTCTCAAACAACACTTCAGGCGCCTGTTCTTCAGTTTTTAACCTTGCAGATTGCCTCGTAAAACGCCTATTAAGTAACCATAAAGCAGCTGTAAGTAATGTGAAAAAACTACTGAAAACACGTACTTTCCCAAAGCAATCAAACCGTGCACAAACAAACCTTTTGTTCTCGGCCTTCCCTTTAGGTTGGAGTTCTTCAATCGTAGGATCCTCTTTTTCCCCCGGTGAACATGTAGTCTCACTTTCATGAACTACATTGTCACATAGAGGAGAGACGGGAATTTTGTAACCATTGGTCTCAAAAAAAAATTCATTTGCTTCCTGTTCTTCAGTTTTTAACCTTGCAGACTGCCTTGTAAAACGTCTATAAAAAAATCATAAAGCAACTGTAAGTAATATGAAAACCTACTGAAATCATGTACTTGCACAAAGTAATCATACATGAACAAACCTTTTGTTGTTAGCCTTCTCGTTAGCTTGGACTGCTTCAATTGTAGGAGCCTCTTTGTCCACTAATGAAAATGCCATCTCACTTTCATGAACCACATTATCGCATATAGGAGAGACAGGAATTTTTCCAACATTGGTCGCAAGCATTTCTTCAGTTGCTTCATGTTCTTCAGTTTTAAACCTTGCAGACTGCCTTCTCAAACGCAACCAAGGAGCACATATAAATAGAGTAAAAATTCACTGGAAACATGTATTGCATATAGCAATCAAACATACACAAACAAACCTTTTGTTGTCAGCCTTCACTTTAACTTCGACCGCTTCAACAGTATGAGAAGCCACAGCTGCATGCAAATTATATCTCAAGAAATAGCACAGAAACAATAGACCAGAAAAACAATGAGATGTCAATTTAGTATTTACGTGGGTTTTTTGGATGTCGTCCCCTTTTGGTATTACAAGGCCCATCCTCGCTGTCTGCTTGCAAGGACTCCCCTGCTTCAACACACTTAGTTGAACCTTCTACCTATGGGTAGTGAAAAGAAACATGTAAAGAATACAAGAGTTCAACAAAACAGATCACTTCTTCAAAGTTTAATTTAGAAACCAGAAAGGAATGCGCTGACTACCTGATTTTCTTTACTTTGGCACGTTACTCTTTTCGCTCTCCCCTACGAGCACACGGTTTACGGTTCGACAACTAAGTCTATAACCTTACAAAGCAGATTAAAGTCTTAAGTAGTTATACTCACCTCAGCCTCCAGTTTTCTCACATTCAGCAACCATTTTTGCATCCAATTTCATGCTGAAGTGCTTTTAGCTAAAAGTAAAAGCAGAATGCTGTTAGTTCATACTTGTACACTTGAATATAAAATAGAAAGTGAAAGCATACACTATTCTGACTTCACCAGTCGAAACTTAACTTACCCTATCTTTACCTGAATTGAGTTCCTGCAAAATTGGAGTAGAAAGTCGATTTTATATTGGTTGATGAAATTACCAGGTATCGGGAAGATTAGAATAATCTACAGCTAAAATTTGTAAAGAAATACCCCTACGATCTGGCTATTTGCTTGGGCAAGTTGCAAATTTTGTTGTTGTACTTTCTGCAGATTGATTCTCAACTTCTGTATCTCCACTCTGCTCAATTCTATGATTTTGCTACCAAATGGCATTAAGAAAACCGAAAAAGCAAGACATGCCAAACCAGATTAGGAACATAAATGAGAGAAATACACAATGAGTAAAATAGATAGCCAAAAGGATACTTTCTGTCAGTAAGAAGTTTCATCAGTGTCCTATTTTCCTGTAAACACATTCAACAAACCCAAAATTAGCTAAACCAACTACATCATCAACATACTTAGACATATGAGATTAAGAGAGATCCAACCGAGACTGTACCTTCTGAAGATTGTCAATATACTCTTTATTTGTATCTGAATCAAATTGCTGCTTCTCCTGTTGAACTGATGGTTTCGGCCACTGCTGCTGCAAGTTGCTAATATCAGCAAGCCTCTTCCGTGAGCTACTTCCAATCGACAATCCTTTAGAAATTTTCCCTCCTTTTGCCTTGTTGTCTGACATCCACACCAAACATTCTGTCATTTTCAGCAAAACCCAACCCCAAAAATCCCAATAACTAATTGGCTACCAAGTCTACCATCAAAACAAAGAAGATGTACACAAAAATTTCCAAATAACGGAATGCTCCTGTGGGTTGAAACGAATAGCTATGCTGGTCAAAATTAAAAATTCCCCTCTTTTCCTACATTTCTCAGCAACCAAACAGAGCTTGAAACTAGTTATGCGTCTCAAATCCAACAAATTTCCACTATATCCTACACAAATTTTACCCAAGAAAACCTCGATAGCTAGCGATAACGAAATTTTCCAAACTTTAACGAAACCTAGCCCTATGAATCCCACACAAACAGCACCAGCATTCGTAATTGCAATTTGTCCCAAATTATGAAACCTCAAACATTAATTCTAAATCAAGAAATGAATTCATACAGAAAAATCAAACGCTAATTCATGAATAAGCAAAAAAAATAGTAGACTATCGATTTCAAATGACCTAAAGAGAATCAAATTCTGTGAAATTTACCTCCGGCGGCGCCGTTCTCCGTATCGAGAATGATGAGACCTTCCATCGTGAAACCCGAGCTGAAACCCTAAATTCTCTCTCTCGATCACGATCTCACTCTCTCTCCTCTCACTTTCTCTCTCTAAAGTTTCATTGCTTCTGAGACTCTGAGATTAATGGAGGGAAAAACGCCGTCGTCGATCAGTATGTATTGGAAATTGAATAAGGAGGGAAACGAAGGGACAGAGGGAAGGGTACATTCGTAAATGTGCAAAGCTCGGGACACCTACGGCTTTCCGAAGCTAATCCCAGACCCGGACCTATGGCTGATGGTCGCAATTAAATCTTATTGGGCCAATGGCCCAAAGCAAAGCCATTGGGCTAGGCTAACCCAACTCCATTTGAGACCCAACATGGAAAAAATGAGTGACATCCGTCATCGTTTGTATATGTAATGTAGGAGAAATTCTAGGGTTCGACTGACTGGTCACGTCACCCGTCCGATTGACCCCACAACATAGCAGCATCATTTGTATTTGGTCTCATCCAACATCATATTGATCTCACGTAATTGAGTATGTTGTCCATACGAGTTGTCACACACAAGAACTCCTCGTGATGTAGGTAATGCTTAACGAAAATATATTAGAAAGAAATAAATGGATCGTTTCGAGTCGAGTTAACGAGTTCTAAAAGGAATTGCTTGGATGCATGATTTTGATTCTTGTGAATCCTATGCATGACTATATATATATATTTCATAACCGTACATTTCTTCCTCGTTGGTTTAGAATCTTTCCCACTTCAAAAGGCCAACAAAATCATGCCACAAAATGCTTCCATTCCCTTCTTTTTTCCAACTTCAAATTATTCTTCTTCTTCTTTTTTTTCGAAACAAACGATATTATTTACACTAAGAGGGTGGGGGAGTTGGTTAAGTATCACAATGGGTTAACAATAATATGGTTCAAATTCGTCTTTAGCAAGAATCGAATCTAATACCTCTCACTTACTAGTGAAGGAATATCACTAGACCGTAGTACTTCTTAAATTTGAACTTTTGTGTTTCTATCTTTTGTTTAGGTTTTTTAACCAAAATAGTCATTGAGATAGGCATAATTCCTCATTTTGATCTCTGTGATTTAAAATCAATATAAGTGGTTTCTAAGATTGTCGCCATCAATTATTTTGATCATTCTGTAAAAAATCTCCATTAAATTGAAGAAATCACCCGTTTAAGTGGGGAAATTGATTTGACAAAATTACCCTCAATTTAACAGAGATTTTATACAAAATAACTAAAATAATTGACAGTAGAAAATTTCAAAGACCACTTCTATCAATTTTAAATCCCAAAACTAATTAAACCTGACAAAACCCTAACCCTTTGCTTTTATGTGAAGAAAACTTTTACGATGAGTCATGCAAAATAGCTAAAGCATATAAGCCGCCTAATTTTTCGTCAGATTTCTTTATCTTTACATAATGGATCGTACTTTTCTCCCATCAAAACAAATACAAGTAGATTAAGCACAATACTTTTGATCCCAATCACAACTTGCATCATCTCCTTATCTGATGGAAACCCTAACTGTATTCATACATGAATTAGACATTATATATTAACCTGCAGTTGGAGTATGTTTCAAGGTATCGATAAGCTTTATCGTTGGAGTTTAAACATGTTATTTCCTCATTTCCATGTATTTATTTGTGATCGACTAAACGATTCTTTTTGCCAGGCAGCAATGCATGACATACATTGATGATTTAACAAAAATTCTAATTCTAATATAGAAGGTAGAAGTTAAACTGTCACATCTGATAACTAAAAGAGTTGATACATTCATATTATATACATTGTTTAATGATAAGACTTTACTCAATTTTTGTTATTGTTTTCACCTTGTGTGATGGTAATAGAGGGGAAGTACATCATCGGCGATGAGGAAGAGTGCATGATGGATGGTGATGGAGATGAAGAAAAAAAGCACATAATTACTACTAAAAACCAAAAACTATTTTAATTCGTTTGCATTTCCAAAATTTTGTTCTCTTTCATTTCTCCTTATTTCTTCCTTTCTCTTCCATCTTTGTTTTTCGTCCCTCTATTTGCCTATATACTTTCCTCATACCTCAAACACGAAAAAAAAAATCAAAACTTAAAAACAAAATAATTATCAAACAAACTCATACCATTTTAACCAGACATTAAAAAATCGATACGGTTTTGGTTATGATCTCGTATTTTACTTGCACAAACTTCACAAAATTCATCAAAGAGTATTTAAATATGCAGCTGAGGTTAACCGAAATGCAATCCTATCAATAATTAGTGGCCCTACGATGATGACATGCTTTTAATAATCAACGACTATGAATTTATAGGACAAGGATTGTCTGCTCTCTCACTTCTGATGCACATGCCCTCCTATTTGTATAGTCACGGTTAAGCCATGTCAACATTTTATATTAATATTCATTTTTGTCTTATTATCTCTATAAAAAATAATATAAAATATTGACGTGGCTTAACCGTGACCACACAAAACAAGAGACCACGAGAGGGCACCAAAAATGAAAGGACAGACAATCCTTGTCCGAGTTTATATTATCTTCAAAATTTGCATTTGTCTTGTCACCATTTGTATGCATCGTAGGGAGTCAACATTTACTGCCTTCAATCGATTTCAAAAATCTCTTATCTGTTACGAATTATAGTACTGTCTTTTTTTTCCTTCTTTTCTTTATCATCAATCAATCGTAGAAAAAAGAAACGAACTTTGAACATTTTCTAACATGTGAAAGAGCAGTATTATTGTCCTAAATTAAAGCTAGTTTAGTTTCAGTACTCTATTTTTTTTAGCAAATGTTATTATGTCGTTCAAATTCATCTTAGGCGAGAATCGAATCTAAAACTTTTCACTTACAAGTAAAGAGAAATATCAATTGACCGCAATACTACTACGAAGTGACAGTTTCAATACTCTTTTTGAATTGAAGTTTTTGACAATATAAAAATGTTGATAAAAGACACTAGGCGCTAGTCGAATTGCGGGCTAGGGACAAGCAATTAGGCGGCAACCTAGGCAGACTAGGCGGATTTAAGTAAATTTATTATATATTATATAAATACGTGTCTATTTATACTTTAAAAACACACAAAATTATATTGGAATACATAAATTGCAAAAAAGCATTTTATGTATTAGTTTTCAAACACCTAGGAAAACTAGACTAAGCGGACACCTAAGCAAGCTTATGCGTACTTTCTTAATTTTCAAATGCCTAATGACTAATCGAAGAAGTAGCTAGGAGCCTAATGCCTAGATGGCGCTAGACGAAAATTTTTAAAACAGTATTATATATTAGTTTGCGTTTCATTTAAAACGATCACAAATCGGTTAAATGTGAATGTTGTACAAGTGGAAAATTAAAATAGGATTATAATATATGTTTACTCTTTTTAAAATGGAAATATGTACAGCCTGATCAAAAAAGCACTTTTATACTTACATTCATATGGCTCGTTAAGCACTATTCGAATTTTTTTTTTTGAATTTCAAAAACAATTGAAGTGTTTTCTGCAAGAATCACTAGTTATGTGTTTACATGAAACATGTTAAGTGAATTAGATCCAAAAATATTTTCACTTTAAGCACTTTCAGTCATTTTAAAAGCACTTCTAAACGAGCATATAGTCTCATATACTTTATTATCTTCTAGCCCCACTTTGCTTTTAAGAATATATTATGTTTGTAAATCAGGTCTTTCAATTTGAAAATCCAAGATTTTCATTACAGCACATCTATGTGGTTCCTGCTGTCAAAATTCGTTAAATTTTCTGTTAGTTTGATGACATGGAACACAGAGTTTACATAGATAATAACTTGATACCACGTAGATAAAAAAAAAAAAAAAAAAAAACCAAATGAAATATTTCAAAACCTCTAAATCAACAGCAACAACCAAAAAAACAAAAGCCCAGTCCACATCTTAGTATCCTACCCCATCCCCATCCGCCTCTCTCTCTCCCTCTCACCCCTAGACCACCATCTTCCACAGCCACCCA